CAATCATTTTTCATTTCAAATTTCTTTCTTCCACCCTAAATAAATTAGGGGGGAGAAGTGTACCGATTAATAAACGTCAACCTAATATTTTCCATATATCCGGGACAGGTGCTGAGTCATTCTTGTTGCATGTGTTAGGTGTTGATTCGATAAACAAAGATTGTTATTAATCTCTCTCTCCACCCTGTTATGTTAGTTTTAAGGATTTTCACCCTCTCCCACCCTATTATATGTAATCGCATGCACAGCTATGGCTGAGCTTTTTCTAAATTCCTTACCAATTTTGGCCTAGCTAGGTTTCTATGTTCGGATAGACTAATTGATCCTGGTCGACTACTTTGACCTATGTATCTGACCTCGCAACCGTTGCAAGAGATTTGATAAGCTAAGTTATTCTGCTTAATTGGGTCAATAGGATCTTTTAATCTACAAAGTTTATTTCGAAGTGAGCTTTATTGAGAATTCCACGTTGTGGTTATGGGTATGGTAATACTGTTAAGGTTTTGAATTCCCTCTTCGCAGTATTGCCACTACTGTTATTATCACCACAATTATTACTGTTACCGTTGCTATTATTACTACTATTAATAACTAAGTTACTGATATTTTTCTTACGATTCCTAAGGAGCTTATCAATTAATTTGGGAGGGTAACTGTTGCTGATCAAGGTGTCTTTAATGTATCTAGATCTGTAGTTTTACTAGTTTTTTGGCCCTGTTTCGTAGACACTTTACCAAGCCGACTTAAACTGACATAGGGTGAGACAATCTGAAGTCTAAGTAACGGTTTGAATGTGAAGGTTTTCTGTAGACACTAGTGTCTAAACTCCCATCTTGTTTCCTTTTTATTCTGCAATCCAACATCGTTAATTCCCCCTCACTATTTTCTAATTCATAGGTGAATTGGATTGCGTTGACTACTGAATTTATATGCGCGAAGAAATTATGTATGTGCTCCGATTTCAACACTGTAAACGTGTCGTCTATACATACAAACTATATCTCTTGGAGCCAGACTACATATTTCTACAGCCATCCGTTCCCAACTATCCATAAATATGTCAGCCACAATAGGGGATATTGGTGATCTCATGACAACTCCTGTTTGTTTGTATATTTTATTCCGAAATCTAAATATTGTTGAAGTTAGGCATAGCTGTACTCCTAGCATGATATCATCTACTGATACCTTAGTTCGTAGTGTAAGCTCATGGTCATTATTGAGCTGGTAGTGGACTTTCCTGGCACCAAAATACAACTAGGGCTAAAATAAATAGATTAAATTAACTAAAACCTCTTGCTTGCCTCCGGATGCTTTAGGTGTTTTAAGTTTTGTTTTGACGAGCATACATACTAGCAGGCTTCGGCGCCATTTAAGGCTCCCTTTGTACTGGTTAGCACTCATGTACTTAGAGTCCCTAGTTCAGCCATACTAGTCAGATAAGTTGAATAATCTTTTCTCCTATTCATTACTATCACATTTATTCCAAATAAATATATCTTCTTCGAATATATTCCCGAAGAAGAATCAAAACAAAGTATCCGTCCAGTGTAGGACCTCTCAGTAGTGCGAACCCGTGGCCCCGCCTAGGACTAAACCCAGGACCTTCTGCCAGCATGTTGTCACTGGGTCGCAGTTCAATGGCCCGCATTTCGTACTCATCAGTTCACGATATAGCGCGATCTCCATCCAACGTTGTCGTTGAGTAACTGTCCTCAAGTCTGAACTGGTAGGTCCCACTGGTCACTACTCATTAGAACTTCGGGAATCTCAACTAGAAGTAGGTTGACATTTATAGCGGACCCTATATCCAGACTTGTACCATTGTGCCTATTCAACCAGGCGATTCACAATAAATCAACCCTCTGCTTATGTCACACACAAACGCCTTTATGAGAAATATGCAACCGCGGTAACGAGTACATTATGAAGGCTTTTTAAGCACATTCAAAACAAATAACGTTTGAAGTGAAGTAAGGTCTTGACCACTACAGTTACTAATGTAAATATGGGTCAGCAAGTTGACACTTCTAGAACTTTCAAGTACAGAAATTATCTGGGTTACTTCGCTTCATGAAAGCAATTCTTACAAAGGTCTCAACTACACGTTTCCGTAAACAATGTCTCATCAGCCTACAGCCTCGTAGTGGATATACTTTGATCCTGTTTTATTTTATTTACATGACCCTTCATTTTATTCGACTGGTTTTAAACAAGAGTTGCACAAGCCAGTCAGCTGTTCAACCTTTTATTCCATAGCATATAAATTAGCGGTTAGTTTCATCCACAACGTATAATTTATGCTTTCTCAATATTTTGGATTCTCTATTTAGCAGTATCTTACGTCATCGTTCAATCTTCTAACCTTGAATTTTTAGATATATTTCTTGTACAAATAGACAATGGGGTTTCAAGTTTCAAGACGCTGATCAAATAAAATATTACTTCATTCCTCAAATTTAGTCTTCCCTCTTTTGTCTAAGGTAGTCAAATATTTATGAAGCTGCAGTGAAGTCTGTTAAAAGAAACCTACAAATCTCAATCACATTCTGATCAATACCTATTAAATTACAATTACGTTTATGAAGTTTAAATGCGAAGAGGCCTGAATGGTATAACTACTAAGGAGGTAATTATTGTAACTTAACATAAGGTAACCAACACTTAAACCGTGATAAAGCATACAATGGATCAAAATGAATCAGGTGTTAAAATCTGTGTCTCACGAAGTACTATCTAGAACCAATTGCTGGAAGTCAAGTGAAACATACAATGGTGGCGTTAGCGCAACAAATGCAGTTCCTGAAAGTGACTAAGGAATCATCGACAAGAGAAATGGTTCATGTTGAGTAAGTGTCTGTAACTGAAGTAGTGAATAACCGGTCTTAATAAATCAGCAGGCTTTAAACGCGTCAACGTTAAAGACAACATTGGTAAAAACTGAAAGGGACCTAATTTTACAACACTGTCATAGATGCCTTCAACCATGTTGATCTCATTTCGCCGTTAGTTTTTAAGTGATATTCAGTCACTACCAGCAACTACAACTAAGGAAAAAAATCGTTAGGAGGAATTGAACGATATGAAAACTTGAAATCACAGAATGTCATTTTCTTTTACAACTACCTAAACAGATTTGAAAAGTGGGTACAATGTAGTACAAATGAGCCTACCGTCCGAACTGAACAACTAACAGCAAGGTCTAATGATATTTTGTTGCCTCAAAGAACGATGAAAACACAGGCAGCATTAATTTCGAACAAGCTAAACATAAAATAATTCCAGTGTAAGATTATTCTCAGCTTTCTTAAATTTTATTAGGATTTGAATTATTTCAATAGAATCAAGCCAATTTAACAGTTTGGTTGGACACCGTGAATACGAAGTAAAGATATTTAATTCTTAAGCGAAATGAAGTTGTGGACTTCATTTCCTCCAAATAACAATATAAGGTATTATGACGAAATATACTAATTGAAAAAACCAACCTAGAACCTTGTACATAGGTTCATCGGTCCAAGTTGCCACACTTCACTGAATTACACACAAAGATCAGGTGGATACAAAAACAGTGATATCAAAGTACACAAAGTTGTGTGAGACAATAAACAATTTGAAGATAAACGTTTATATTTATATTCAAGATTCAGGAGATATCAAAACAGTGAATACATCTGTACCACTCTGACCAATTTTCACCCACTTCACTAACAGTCCTCAATCACTAATTCCTTTCGTCTCGAGAACCCCAGCAAAGTAGTCTACATCGCCACACACAAATCGGATCAACAGTTAGGGACTTCATCGACTCGTCTCATGTCTTGGTTTGGCCACCCTCCACCCTCTTCCAACAGAATTCAACTTCCCCTAGCACGGCATGTCGGGGTAGGCGGTGGATTAGATCAGGATATGAAGTACATGTCCAACCCATGTCAGTAGACGAAGGTTCATAACCTCATCATTCGACTTGCCTAGTACCCTTCGCCTGACGTCAACATTGTTCACACGATGATTCCACCAAACTCGAGCAGTGTTAAGAAGACACATATGACGATGCATACATTAAGATTCATCCCCCGGCAGATATACAGATCAGAATTTATTCACAGGAGTATTAGCAGAATTTAAAATTTATGTCAATAATTGAACAACTAACTGCCTAATGTCGCTAAAACTGCTACAATACACAGCAGTCCCTTTAATCATATATATTTTAAGAGTTAAAAATAACCACTAGTAACCAAGATGGTTTCACTGTGAAAATTCAAGGTTGAATTATAGCAGATAATACTTGGCGCAGTAGATAAGTCAACGTCAAATTGTACACAAACCACTGAGTAAACAAATACTATCATAACAGTTTCGATCAAGTGAAATTATCCTGAAATTTATCTGAACCACACAGTACATCAATCAAACCACCTAATGTTGTATATGTCAACAATCTGTCTGTTAAATTCTACTTAACACCATAATAAGGGCATATAATACCCAGGTCAAAATTTGCACATAACTTCATTGTACTATGAAGAAAAAATGTTTAATTTATTTATGAGACGTAAACGCCACCTTCGGATGATACACACTAGAATGTTTACAGAATGCATTCACAATATGTTTGTGCATAGTATGTGTCAGAGATTGTGCAAACAGAATAATGAACAAAAATTGTCATGTTTTCAAAAATGAATATATAGTACACATCATTTTAAAAAGAAAACAACAATAACGATGAGGTTACAACAATAATCAAGGCAGAAACCAGTGGAAAATCATAACACTTCTAGAAAAATGAAAGGAATATACATGGAATAACTAATATACATGAGAATGTAGTCTAAATAAGTTTAGTAATAGTGTGAAGAACAGTACATTTATTTCACTCTAAAATTATTCTTGATACAAATAACAACACATTGAGTAAGGTAATCCACCTTTTGTTGCTTTAATCCAGAATAGAAGTATTCATTCATGTATTCAATCATCTCTTTGAAAATCAGTTAATTCGTTGGTACATCATAGAAGAACGAGGCAAGTGGATAACGAATAATAAATGCCAAACAAGAACACAGGATCTGCAACAAAATTTATTGAATTCAAAAGATAATCATTTTATTTCTTTTTAGAACCATATGAAATGGATTTTTTTGATCTAACGATATTTTTTAAAATCTTCTATAAATGAAGCTTCATCTGAGGATAGGTAGAACAATATTTTGGTTGTATTGTGTTCTCTGAGCTGGATTGTTTAGTCGTGGAGCTTCCATCGTCTTACTAGACGACATCTTCAGCACTAACTTCAGTATAAAGTGGGCTATCAATATCTCCGTGAGTGATTAGTTGTTTCCTTTGATTGTTGTGTCATTGATTGTATAGATTTTCCTGTTGACTGTCCCTCTGCTTGACCTCTGACCTTCCTATCATTTATCATCTTTCTTATTGGTTGATAGATTGGGTCAATGTCTATAGATCTACTGATTGCTGACTGACCTAAATGTCAAGCTTCTAGAAATTCTTTGATATTCTTTGTTTGGTTCATCTTTGAGTGTTGCATCCCTTTACAAAATCAACTGCAATAACTGTAGTCAACAGTACATTAGACAAAGTGGTCGCCCAGTTGGCTATTAAACGTCACGACATTTCATCACTCATTTCAATGCATGTGGATAACAACTATGGACATGAATTCAATTTTGACAATGTAGAAATTTTGGACACAGGAAACACAAAGAATCCCTAGGAGCTTGGCACTTAGGTCAGTCAGCAGTTAATAGATCCATAGACGTAGACCCAACCTGTCAACCAATAAGAAAAGTGATAAACGACAGACAGATCAGAGGTCAAGCAGAGGAACAGCCAACAGTAAAATCTATACAGTCAATGACACAACAATAGAAGGGAACAACCAATCACAGACCACTTTGTCAAGGCAAGCTACTAAATCACTCACGGAGAGGTATAGACAGCTCACTTTACACTGAGGTTAGCGCTGATGAAGTCGCCTGGTAGGACGATGAAAGCTCCATGACTAAAAAACCTAGCTCAGAGAACACAATACAACCAAGACCATCCACGTGAGCTACAAATATTCTCTGCTAGAACAATATTTCGATTAGACTTTGAACTAACTACTTTCCACATTACTAAGTGTACAGTAACAAATAAACAAGATATAGGTCACTAGTAAATAAATGATAAGCAATCGTCTGAGTGACATTTGGGCTTGTATCAATTAGATTGATCACTTCATCAAGTTTAATTTATTTTTAACATGGTGAAGAATGAAGTGACTAAGATACAGCCTTTTTTGTGAAATCAATGACTACTGGCGTGAATCGAAGGAAGCAATGCTGACTAGTCAGAGTTCTATTCACAGCAAGACGTAGAAGCTAAGGATATCAAACTAATAATCGTATCTAATTAGTGCCAATATATCACTTATCTAATCCTGATTATTTAACAGAGCGTTATTTAACTACTACACCTATATATGTTTATCAAGAAAAGAATAAAGGGAATTGAAATAATGTATATATTATGAAGTCCTACTTTATTTATTAGTAAGCTAATCACTAAAAGAATATAGAATTCAGATTATTACAAGTTCAAAATCGATAGTGTAAGGCACTGATACCAAACAAGAAGACAGAATATAAGACCTAGAGAAATAGTCTGGGACTTTGAGATCGCTAAACTTATCGAAAGTACAAAGGAGAGAGTCAATAGGGAGAAACGACCTACTAAAATGAAGCGGGAGAAACACGGGAGACGCTATAAGTGTACAGTAATAAGGCATTCATGGATGAATTGAAACAAATGAACATTTCAGAAATTATCATTGGTTCGCTGTTGGGGATTTCGACTATTGTATGCGAAAGAAGAGTCGAACTCAGTGACAAGTAAATAACGACTAACAAATTCATTTACTAAACAGTGATCTAAATGTGCTGTATAAGGGTTCGTAAGCAAAAACAAGCAAAAACCTCGTTATGAAGCCGTGAGCATGGTTGATTCAGATCAGTCGTAGCCTCACACTTCAGTTTTTCATATGGTTCAAATTCATGGTAAGTAACCTTGGGGACTGGTGACACATCTGTCAATCTAAACTTCATAATACACAAAGCAGTCACTTGCCTGGTATGTAAAATATTTATCCCAGTTGCCGTAAATTAAAAACTTCGTATAATTAACTTACCTTCATCGCATAGTCTCGATATTGGACACTTAGTAATTGTATCGAACTTTGTCTAACCCCAGCGAATAAGTTTTAAAAAGCTACATACTTCGTAGTATTACTCAGTCTTTAACAGATATTTCGGTATCTTGCTTGTGTTACAACAGTAGTATTGAATTACCATATTCTAACTGAGATCTGTACTTTCCAGCTACGTCAGTATACCCATATCATTTTCTGCTTCTTTGTAAACCAGTTCGTGAAGTATAATCTTACATAGGACACCTACAGACAGAATTGAACTTTTGTTTTGGGGCCGGATGGTCGAAAAGAAACGACAAATGGACCAACACCGCCGGCTCAAGAGACCGTGGGACATGGTGGAGTGTTTTGTTTTTGAGGCCGACCTTTTCTAACCTCCCCGATCCACTGAGAAGGCAGCATCAGAATGACACTGCTGGTCATCTAAGGGAAACACCTCACTGCTGTCACACCCCATCCAGCTAGCAGCAGTACAACTTTGCTATCAGACCCCATCATAGTGTAGTAATTTACACTACAACGGTAACTACTTTTCATCTAACCACTATCCAACAAACCTTTCTGGTATGGTAGGACCTCGAGGGAACAAGTGTCCCACCAGCATAGCTCGCTGAGTCATTGTGATATACAAGCTCGACCACCACGTTAAGGTATCAGCTATCGGTGCATACTATACTTTATTCAGTGTGTTAAAAATTAATATCTGGCCAGCATTTTCACTAAGGATTATGCCCTTTGTAGAGTACCTGAATTTAAATACTACAGTTTAATGAACACCAATCAAAACGGTCAAATAAGGTAAGAGGTCGCCGTATGCATATGTGAATAAAAAAATTTCAGGAGTGTGATATAACGTCACACGTAGATAATGCAACTGATGAAAGCGAGAATATGAGCAGCTTGAAGATATCAGCAGTTGCAGCTGTATACGGCAAAGATCTGATTGAAATACTGTTAATCATGCTTAAAACCTATTTAATTTTCATGGGTTTCAATATTTTGGTGCACTTGACTCTGTTTTCCTACCACCTATGATGTCATACAGATGAAATATGCATTAACAGAAACAATAATTAGTGTACAACAATGAATGCAGATTATTATTACTTTACAAATAAACGCATTTTATGATTAGTGCATCATTATCATTTTTAAAAAAATTCTTCGATAGTGCAAACAGTGCATACTGTGAATGTACAATGAACTCGAAAAAGAGATATCCATGCCCAGAGGAATAGATTGGTATAATTTTCGAAAATATAAGCACAGATAATTTTATTTAGTCTTAAGTATTAAACTGAACAAATGAATTTGTTAGTCTTCAATTATCTACGTGCCTGGTTAAAACTAAATTGATTATTATTATATTATTTGTGCCTTGGTGGGTTCCTAATGGAACATAGGGCTTCAGTAGAACGTCTCCAGTGCACTCTCTTCTCTGAAATCTTTTGAACCTGGCTCCACGACAGCCCACAAGCTCTCATTTCTTCCTCGCGCGATCTCCTCCATGTCATCTTCACCTCGGACACCCAACTCGTCGCTTCCCATCTGGGTTCCACTCTACCACCTGGCCTGACGTGTGATGTCCCCAGTCGACCTTCTCCTCAATGCATCACCAATCCATCTCCACTTCCTCCTGCATATTTGTTGACCGATAGGTTCTTGCTTCATTGGTTCGTCACCAGCCAGAGTTCACTGTTGCTTATTCTTTCTAGCAATCCATCTGATCTTCAGTAACGAGTGAGCGTATGTGGCAGTTGTTGATGAATGTCTGTAGTTTGTTGGAAATGCCTTTCGTAACGCGCCAAGTCTCTGAATCATCTACAAGTACTGACTTGACATTGGTGTTGAAAACCAGGATCTTGTTCTTTATGTTGAGTGCAGAAGATCTCCACACTGGTTTCAGGTTAATGAACGCCTGTCTTGCTGTCTTTCCGATCCTGGCTTTGACGTCCTCGTCCGTGCCGCCTGTAGTTGAGACGACGCTGCCTAGAAACTAAATTGAAGCTTTTCGATAAATATTGTAATCCTTCGTTTTAAGTGACGGAGATAATTGCATCTTTTAATTACGAGGTATTCATGTTTTTTCCTTTGAATATTTACAGTTGATGAACAATGAATCCATTAACCTAATAGAGGATATCTAATGAACAGATATGAACTGTCCTACCCTTTGACTGAGAGAATTGAGTTGTACGAAAAAGATTCATCACTTTATCAAAGTTTTTTTTCTGCACCGATTGGTCACTGTAAAATAGTATGACTACTGTAAATACATAATTCTAATTAAGGTGAAATATTTATCTGGATAAAGCACAAAAATAGCATACACAGTTCCTGCTATGAATAGACTTTTTAAAACAGATACTGTTGTGAGAAAGCCAGTAAAATTATATGAATATATATTGGGTGTATATATACCACAAAACTTATTTATTGGTGTCCAGTTATTTCAGTACCCTAAATTACTGGTTTATGTGATGTTGCGGTCTATTGGTCTAAACATTTAACTTCCCAACAATTCCTTCCAAGTTCAAATCCGACTCCATTTAATTTAGCCAGGATAGCTGAGTAGTATCATAGGTCCTCATAGCCACAAAATAGAAATTTGTATCGGATAGATGAGTTACATTCAATTATAATTGATTTTCCATTGATTTATGTAAAATCAAACAATGACTTCTAATCATATTTCTGTTCCATAACGAGGATGAAAATCGCGTACAACAAGTTAACTCGGTACAGGTGAACACTTGTCGTGTGAGGGTTTATGATACAACCCGGTTATCTAGGTTGAAGATGGAATAGGATTTCAGCACAGGATTCATTGCCTGGAAGTCAAATACTTACAATAATGAGCCATATCTCCGATGAAATTGTTTAGTTAAATAGTCGGTATGCCACAGCTTCATAACGCTACCGTAAACTATGGATGTCACATACTGTTTCACTATAGAGCTTTTCATGCATATATAGCAAATTTACACTTTGAGCACTTTACTAAGTTTTGTCTTCTTGGATTGTTCGCTACCTATATCGACGTGAGTTTAAGTGTACTGAAATCAATCTCCTATGCTAAGTATCGATTTGAATACCTAAAGTTTTAAAGTTATCCTACGATTTGGGAGAGTAAGAGGATATCTATGTAACATTATGCAAGGAAAAGTTGTCTTACCTGGAATAGGAGAAGGATATTTGTGGCCTGCTGTTCATTTCTAGGTCCTAAAACACGCAGCATCATGTTAATGACAGTTAGATTATCTACTTCAACTATTTCTTCAGTCGGTGACTTCATATGCACAGGACTGCTACTTCTTGGTCCTCGATTTTCTAATGTCTGATCACTGTCAGCAGACTGATGAATAGAAGATGATTGTGCAACAATGCTTTCAGTCTTGTTCAACTCTTGAGTACTGGGCATACAATCCGAACAAAGTTTGCATTCAATTATACCCACTCGAGAAAACAAACTCAAAACGAACTGACCAGCACGTGATAAAGATTTTGGATGAAAACGAACGCGACTGGGGTGCAATAGACCATCCGAAATATTATAACTAGAAATAAAAACACAAATCTTACAGTGTACAATCAAATTGTGCAGCAAACTTTAAAAATGTTGAATCAATGATGATCAGATTGACTTTGTTAAAAACAATTCATTAACTTTTCTAGACATGATGACAAACTTCAAACATGAATTGTCCGTGGTAATCAATGTACAACACGAAGTAAACCAGCTTTTATAGTTTCTTCCAGAGTTGATATAGCCTCACAACTCATGATTAAGATACGACAAAGGTCTTGAAATCACCTTTTGGTGGTATCTTGGTATAATTTTGTAAATTAGAACAAGATATATAAGCGAACAATATTGTTTTCAATTAGATCCTCCTTAAGGCTCTACTCGAATGCAAATAGCTTAGTATATATAAAATTAAACCAATCATGTAAATTTGTTGGTTGATGTGGTGTCTTGATTATCGGAGTGTCTACATTTTCAAGCTACTTTCTTGGTTCTTACCATCATTATCATTTATATTGCATGTGCTTTATTCAACGTTATCACTTTTATCATTATTATTATTATTTGTATTATTATCACCATCGTTGTTCTTAAAACATTTATCACATTAATCGACAAATCTATATGATTGGCTTAATTTTATATATATTAAGCTATTTGTATTAGAGTAAAGCCTGAAAAGGATCTCTAATTGAGAACAATATTGTTCGCTTATATGTCTTGTTCTAATTTACATAATTTTGTAAAACAAACCAATCTGCTTACTGATTTAATAATCTGTTTTGGAACTTAACAACAGAAAATTTGCAGCTCATAACAACTCATACATAGCAACTGAATATTTATGCGTGCGAAGGTTTACTGTTTTGAAGACGGCAAACAGTAAAACACGCTTAGGACAATGAATGTTGTCACGTGAACTCACAGATACTATAAATCCCTGCAACTCCCTAGATGGAAACTATTGATTTGTTCCACTAATAACGTTGAGACCATTATTAAGGGGATAAATTTTCATTTACTTGAATCCTGATTAGTGGTACGCGCCAACGAAAGAGTTTTTCATAAAACAGTACTGTTCTAAATTTTCTTTGTACACCTTTCCTCAGACTCTGGGTTACAAATTTATCGTCGATATAATCTCTAATTCCTAATGTCATAAAGATGAATAGGTTCAACCTTACAGCTTAAAGCTTCATTAAAATTGTTCAGTATTACAGATGAACGATACTAAAACCATAAGTAGTGATTATTTAGCATTGGCTGCTGAATTACTAGTCTTAATGCCCGTTTGAGATACTATTTCAACTCAGCGACCATCTGTAGTACCTGCCAGGGAACCGACTACTTACTAAGGATCAAATAAACTGAACGGTAGTGAGCTCTACACTTCTCTGTTGTAAGACACGGTTGTTGGAAGTAGAAAGTACGAGGAGTACACATGTTTTTAATCATAAGCAGCTTACTAGCATCGTTAATGTCGTGATACAAACGTGTATATATAACGCCTTAAAAACCATAGACATATTGTTCCAGAAATGAGTTGCAAGTTATCAAATTTATTTTGAAGTTTTGATCCAAGGAAGAAGTAACCAACGTTGATCGTGAAGCAATCAAAAGGAAAACTGTTTGAATAAATTATCGCCGAAAAGCAAGAATTTCTTTTTTTAACCCCCTACATCGATCTGTGCCAGTTAAGTTGAAAAATGTGACACCGTAAGTATGAAGTTTTAAATTCTGTAATGAAACAAGTGTCTGAAACGCTACACCTGGTCGGGTTACGATTTAACATCTTCAAGAACCCCATAAATTAAGTACTAATGTAAACACAAAAATGTTCATGAGGTGACAAATCCGAGATATATTCGCTGTAAATGTTAGTAAGCGAAAAAACTGGATAAGATGGCTAATCGATGCTGGCTGCTGAAATGAGTACAAATCAACGAGGTGGTAAAAATCACACACGTACAGTATTTGCATCAATCTTAAGCAATTATAAGTGTGAGAGATCCCCGCCCAGTTACATTAGAGTATAGTAACAAACTATGTTCAATAAGTGGGATAAGACTATTGACTTTTGAAGTCATTTGCAGAGCCACATTTAAACTAGCCTTTCGTTTGACGAAGTGTGCTTAGCGCCCTTCCAACGATTTGAGGGTAGTATCCACTATTGTTAAATACTGGTATGACAAACAGACAGACGAAATCAACGTAACCTCGCATACAAATGCATCGGTTCAAGTTGCCACACTTCACTGAATTACACACAAAGATCAGGTGGATACAAAAACAGTGATATCAAAGTACACAAAGTTGTGTGAGACAATAAACAATTTGAAGATAAACGTTTATATTTATATTCAAGATTCAGGAGATATCAAAACAGTGAATACATCTGTACCACTCTGACCAATTTTCACCCACTTCACTAACAGTCCTCAATCACTAATTCCTTTCGTCTCGAGAACCCCAGCAAAGTAGTCTACATCGCCACACACAAATCGGATCAACAGTTAGGGACTTCATCGACTCGTCTCATGTCTTGGTTTGGCCACCCTCCACCCTCTTCCAACAGAATTCAACTTCCCCTAGCACGGCATGTCGGGGTAGGCGGTGGATTAGATCAGGATATGAAGTACATGTCCAACCCATGTCAGTAGACGAAGGTTCACAACCTCATCATTCGACTTGCCTAGTACCCTTCGTCTGACCTCTGCATTGCTTATACGGTGATTCCACAAAGCTCGAGCAATTCTATGAAGACACCCATTATCAAAACCTTGTAACTGCATCATGCCTTCTACTTTAAACGACCATGTCTCACAGCCGCATAGTAAGACTAAATGGACTACAGAGTAGTACACTCGTCCATTGATAGATAGTCGGATATCTCGACAGTCGGCGCCACGTGTGACGCAAGTTGGCAAGTGCCAAATGGGGCTTCTCTATCCGAGCCGAGATTTCGTCAGCTACCGGTTTGTTCAGGCTGACGCAACTTTCCATGTAAAGGAAGTGATCGACTTATTCCACTTCACTTCCTATCAATAAAATGAAAGTGATTCCAGACCAGTCTTCGAGTATCATCGTACATTCGACAGGTGCGAGACGCATGCCAAATATATTCATATCTCCGCACAACGCATTCGCAAGGTCCTACATTGCGTTAGCATCTTAATATAACGCTCTTAGAAGGAACAATTGAACTGTGTTTAAGAGATATGGTAGAGAAAGTGTTGAAATATATGCGTGCATGCAAAAACTATGGGCAAATCAAACCTCGATGTTCATTACGATGGAAATGGGTGGTACTTATAATCAGTTGAAAGAGCAGACGATTATTCCCAGTTTTCTAAAATATAGAACTGAAAATAAAGTATATTTTCCTGGCAACTGTATGTAAAACATTATAAATAATTGAAGAAGATCTCAGATGATGACCATGCAATAAAAAAGCCTTAGGAAAAGGGTATCTACAAACTAAGGTTCGAGATTATCGTACAACATTCAATCTAATCAAAAGCTCAAGTTGATGTAGGTAGCAAAACAACGGTGAGATTAAAAAGCACCTACTACATATTAGAATAAATCATCTACTTTTTGAATAAATATTAGATTATACAATGTAAACCACCAATTTAAAGATTAATTTATTGCTTGTCTGCATAAACTAATGATTTACTTCGCTTACCGAGGCAATCGATGTCGTGGACAGGGAATCAAACCAAATAATTGAGGAGTGCTATAGAGAAAGTTGATTATTTGTGGTAAAAAGAATAACATCAACGTTTTGCTGAAATGACCCAAGATACCCACCACAGCAAAAGTCATCCCTGCAAAATAACAGAAAGTATCTCCGACAAATGCCCTTGCAGGATATCTGTTAGAAGAGAAAACAAGGTTTTACTGTAAATTTAATTGAAACCCCAGTATATTGACAGTTATTCACTCAACTAGTCTGGTTACTAAGCAAGAACAATCGATATTTTTGATACTTATGATCCGCATTTAAGTCTTACAGAAAGTAAACGGATAGTGATTGACGGACTCAGAGAGCACAATACCTTATTAGAACTGGCTTAAGCGATTGCTCTCTAGAGATATATCACGGTAGCGGCGTACTTCAGCAGAGAATACGGTTGAAATATGATAGAAGTTGATGAGATGAGAACTGTACGTATTTGATAGCAAGTAGCTTCACAGCGTTGCACATGTTTGTTAAGGCTGAGAACAAGGCGTCATGCCAGAAATAAGCTGTATTTCAGAGGTGGTTGGGATACATGTCCATAAAACCACCAAAGTTGCCACACCACATCGGAGTGGAAATAAATAAATGGTAAGATAAATAAATGAAGATACTATCATCAGCAATCGCAAAACGCTCTAAGACAAAACGAAAATGAGATAAAGACTAGGAAGACGTATGATATTACCATATGAACCACAGTAACTGGTTTACAACTACATTATTATTATTTTTTCCTTGGGTTCCTAGTGGGACATAGAGCTTCAGGAGCACGCCTTTATTGCACTCTCTTCTTTGCAGTATTTTCAACCTAGCCCCACGACTACCCGCAAGCTTTCATTTTTTCCTCACATCATCTCCTCCATGTCACCCTCACCTCGGACGCCCAACTCATCGCTTCCAATCTGGCTTCCACACGATGGCCTGGCCTGGCACGTGATGCTCCCAGTCGGTCTTCTCAGTGTATGCCGGATCCAATCCATCTCCACTTTCTTCTGCATATTTTTTGAGCGATGGCTTCTTGATTGGTTCCTTCCCACAGTTCCTTGTTGCTTATTCTTATTATTCTGGTCATCTGACATTCAGTATCGAGTGAGCGTATGTGGCAGCTGTTGATGAATGTTTGTAGTTTGTTGGAAATGGTTTTCGTGAGGCGTAAACTATCTGAACCGTATAGCAGCACTGACTTGACATTAGTGTTGAAAATCTGGATCTTGTTCACTCATCACGCTGAGTGCAGTAGATCGCCACAGTAATTTTGGATTAATGAAAGCCTGTCTTGCTTTTCCGATCCTGACTTTGACGTCCTCGTCTGTGCCGCCGCCTGTAGTTGAAACGATGCTGCCTGGATAGGTGAAAGAGACTACTTCCCCCAGGTTTCTCCCGTTTACGCTGCCCCGGCTCTTCTGTCAACTTGTTAGTTTTCGCCTTCGAGTTTGTGCGACATTAGACATAAATCATCGGCAGCCAAATTCAAATCTTCTAGGCTTTTTTCATCCGTCCAGGCAGCGTATGCCCATCTTCTCGCTTCTCACAGTTGTCTGCTGCATGATCCGGTCGACCACAATCAGGAAGATCATGGGTAATAGTAGATGGTAACCTTGTCTTGCCCCAGTTTTGACTTCAAAGTTGTCACTGACCTTTCCATTGTGAATCACTTGGCATGTAGCGTCTTCATATATCTGTTGAATGAGGCTGATAAAAGTTTGTGGTATTCCGTAGTATTGAACCAGTTTCCAAATTACCTCTCGGTCGACGCTGTCAAAGGCCTTCTCAAAGTCGACAAAGTTGAGGTAGAGAGTTGACTGCCATTCCATATTCTGTTCTATGATGATGCGTAGTAGTGTTGCAATTTGGTCCGCACACGATTTGTATTTCCTGAAGCCAGACTATTCCGGTCGTAATTTTGAATCCAGCGCATCCACTAGTCTTTCAAGGATGGTGCGGTATATTTTGCTTGGTGTGAACAGGAGCATGATTCCTTGCCGGTTCTTGCAAAGGCTTAGGTCTCCCTTCTTTGGGAGTTTGACAAAGTAGCCCTCATTCCAATCGATCAGCAGGTACCTTTCCTTCCTTGCAAACCTTCTGCAGTAGTGGTGTCGATTGTTGTCTCCGCGTCTGTTTTACAATCACATAACCTACATTATTCTACCAACACGTAAACTTCAATCAGAAGCCTATATTTCTCTTCTTTTTTCAAATTAATTTTGCACTTTGCTTCTTCTTCCCAACTGCTTTCCGCCGGCTGTTGGAAAACCACTACGCCGAACTGAGTAGAACTTTGAGGCATGTCAGAAGGACCAGTGATGTACCTCTAATTCTTTCTATGGATGTTGTGGATAAACATTTAAATTCACGTAAACAACTGATAAAACTTATTCCATCAGATGAACAAAATCCTCTACACTAATAGCTTTCTATTTGCCAGTTATTACTCTAGACAAAGAGTAATCGCATAAGATTTTACGCTGGTAGAAATAGATACAAAAAGTCCGCTATACCTCGTTTAGCTCGTATTCCATGTGGGAAGAAAAAGAATCGGAAGTGGACTTATCAATCACTTTTACAATAGCATTATCATCTAATTATCGAGAATCTAATTAGTATTATGACTATAAACGACAATTACTTGCTTCTTTATACATCTAGTAGGTCAATTAGACCATTTCTGTTTGCTGATGTTTCGTTTATTATTGTAGATGCAATTTTACATCATTAGAATGTTGTATAGCATCCCTAAAATATTTTTCAGAATAAAGCTATTATAACTAAACGAATAAGACCGTTACTTGGTTCTTGTATGTGATAAAAGATGAGGGAGATGTAAGTTGGAGAAAACTTTGATGAAAGTAGTCTACAAAGAATTATTAATTAGTGTGGAAACCAGGTGATATGGGTTAAAACAAACAACAATAGTGGTGCAGCTCACTGACTTGAACACTCAGCTTTTGGACAATGGATTTTAGGTCCAACACCCTCTTCATCTACTTTAGTTTGAGCAACCACATAGTACTATACACCCTCATACAACAATTACTCCTCAAATCCGAGTATTAATTGAGGTTCTGTAGCAGTTAATGAATACATAGACTACAATGGTCTAATGGTATTCATCTTTTTGCTCAATCTTCAACACTTTGTCTCCTTTATTTCTTCTCGATTTCTGGCTGGGTATGCTTTGGTCGATCGGTCACATCGTTGCTGAGATGTGAACACACGAAAAAAAGCCCAAAATATTGTTTTGCTTATCTTTGAAAATGATAATCAGTTCTGTGAAAGGGATGTTACATAAATAGATTGAATAGAGCTTCAGATCTTTACAAAGGTATTTTAATCACAGACATTTGACACCAGAAAGATTTTCTTTTCGAGGCCATAGTATATGTATTAAAAGCACCCAAGTTAAATCAAATCATTTACACTTCACTGGTAAAAAATGTATATAATAAAGTGCAAAAGTGGATACTTATTTTGATACTCTGAAAATAAATGGCTATCACCATAACTAGATTTAACTTTTTAAGCCAACAATGGGAGAAAAAGTGAAGTGCAGCATGATAATGATGTGCAGATTCTGAAAACTACACCAACTGTGACGGTTAATAGTTCCTCAAAATGAAGCAGGTATAGTAAACCTCAGACCCGCGGTTGTCTAGTTGGAAGTTGGTTGCCTACAACTCCGTGCAAGGCATGTTACTAACTCACGGCGAGGATTCTTAAGAAATAGGGTAAAACTGACGGTAAGTCGAAATTTCTGAAATACTCTTATTACAGACACTACAGAAAAATACGAACCATTGCAGATATCAGCAATCCATCCAACACATTTTTGTGGTTTCGTGAACGTTTGTTAATATTTTCATTTGGTAGGGAAAAACAATTTAACGCATATGGTCAACTACAGAATCTTCAGTAAGGATACCTGTTTCCATAAGGTCTGATAAGAAGATAAAAGATTCAACAAGCGAGTCTATGAGACTAAAATAATAGTAGAGAAAATAGTAATTCTTAATCAAGTCCAATCAATGTGGTTGCCTCGTTGCAGACAAAGGAATGCAACATCTTGTGCACAAATATGCCTCAAATCAACACACAAGGGAGTAGTTAGGACTGAGGTGTCATTCAAATACATAAAATACGAGAGGAGAGAGAACAGACCAATAAAAGTTGGTGAAAAATATCCGAAACTCGAAGATGATATAAAGTGTATGATCTGCAGCACAATGATCGATCTGCAAAACTATTATCAAGAATTGCTAACCATTGACTCCCATCTCAAGACCTTAAGCCAAACTGCCTACACTACTCAGAACAATGGTCACAGGCTTCATGGATTGGTCAGGCTTAGTGTTTTGTCAACCCAATCTTACTTCCGTCAATAGATTGGACCGAGGTAGACGGTGATTTTATATGCATAAGACATGTTTGCACGAGCTTAATCACTGTATGTTCATAACGCCATTGGCTAACTTGCCTTCCTTGCTTAGGAATCTGTGTCAAAACCTCAGCACTGCCCGTACAGTGATCCCAACAAACACAAGGAACCCTGAGTAGATTCATAAGGTTAAAAAACAGTAATTTCCATGTATGTTCTACTTTCAGCGACCATACCTCACAGTTGTCCGAGAAGAGAGTTAACTGCTGTTTAGTATTCTCTTTTGATATGTAGCCGGATGTCACTTTGTGACGAAAATTAGTGTTAACAAGTGCTACACGATTCTTTTGTAATTAAGCGGATATTTCGTCAGCTACCGGCCCATTTGGATTGATGCAACTTCCAAAGTAATGGGGTGGCTACTGAATCTAACCACTTTAATCCTTATCCTAAGACTAAAAGCCAGTGCATATCAATCAGTTCTGAAACATCACTTCACATATGCCAAGTGCAAAAAAGCATACCGAACATACTGAAATTTATGTTCGTAAAAGTGCATTTTGTCTAACGTTTCCCTCTACCAGAAATATGTCGTCTGCGTACTTCAAGATTACCACGTATCATCCTGGGTGTAAATCAATCTCTGTAAAGTTGGAGGTACATAGGGTTATGTCCGCTAGCATATCTATGATAAAGTCAAATAGGAATGATGACGGTGGACATCACCGATAGTTATTTAAGATAACTCCCCGTATTCTATTATATAGTTGGTTGAGTTTAAGTAGAGTGCTTCCATTAGCATTTTGTACTTGTTCAGTACTCACTTTGCAGTCATATATAGTCCCAACACTTTTCAATTTCAGGTCACAAATATGGTAAACATGTGGCACCCGTAAGTCTACCTGTATTTCAGAACCTGTCGAAGGGTTAGAACCTGATCGACACTTTCATTCAGGTTTGAATCCTGCCTGATTTCCTGGAGTTTGTTGTTTGCAAGCTCTAGTTATGCATCGGTTGACTATCAACTGAAAATCTTAGATACAATGTTTATGAGACTGATTCACGTGTGGGTTTCAGGGGAAAACCTGTCTCCATCCCTATAAACTGGAATCATCAATAATCAGTACGTCAGGTCAGTTGACCTCTCTCTAAAGACTATGCATTACCTCAGTTACCGCAATCACTACTTTTCCACCCCCAGCCTCAAAAGTGTCTGATGGTAAACAATCAAGTCATGCTGCGTTGCATCATTTGAGATTTGGAATAGGTCTTTCAACTTCGGCGATATTTTGAAAAACGAAATCAACATCTCACTCAGGTTGGGATTGTAGACTTTAACACGGCTCCAAATATTCGTGTATAGAGCTTATAGTAAGTTAATGTACTAGCTCAAAGAGAAACCGCTGCAAAAACTCTCTCTTAACGAAGTCAAATGCTGACTTTGGGTCCAGAAGCACAGCTCATATTTGATGTCTGTATCCAAGGAAATAAAAATGACGCAGCTAATTTGAAAACCTGTTTGGTTTTCGAAAATCCGAAGCAATCATATTTGACTAACAGACCCCATTCAGGATGACTAGTTATCTTAAACTACTGCCCTTAGTGATAGCTGTAGGATCTATTGACTTTTCTTGTTTCAGATTCCTTACGAACTTTTGTGACTCAGCAGGTAACTGAACGCTCTATGTCTATGTTTGATTTATATTGTGACTTGAATTTAGGCAACTGAAGCGTAGTTGGAGCCCAACTGAACTGTTTCTCAAAAGTATGCCATCCACTATTTCAGCTGTCTATAAGTGGAATGCTGACTATCCTTCCTGTGCTATAACCTCAACAACCACAATCTTACGCCAGTTTTCTAAATAAACCATGTAGTACTACTACATGTCATAAGTGGAATGGTTTACGTGATGGTACGTAAACTCGTTTATCGTTACTCAATAAAATTGCTCTACAAAAGGATCTTAATTATCTGATTACCTCCATGTTAAATTCACTCTAAAATGGATAAACATTGCTAAAATTCAGTCTATTTAATCTATTAATAAAAAACACTTGATTATGTTTAACATCGCTATACTACCTTTCGAACTGCAATTTAAGATCACGAAATACCACTCTGAGTTCATACCGATCAAGACCGTCGAAACTATACATATCAAGAAGTCTTGAGTTAATAGGAAGATTATACCTGAAAATATATGAAATAAAGCATACTAATAAGTATTTACGTTTCAGTGGGCGATAACAGCTAAAACAACTTACCGGTTCACACAATATAAAGCCCAACATACGGCCCAAAATGGAATCAGAAAGTAGAGGGAAAACAGATGAACACGCCAGTGATAACCTAAAATAGCAAATTGACTTATCAGTAGCATAACTAACTACACTCAAATTAATAAAGTGATGTAGAGCATTTTTCACTTCCTTCAGAAAGCAGTATCCCTAACATTCAACTAACTTTTTGATCTGTTTGTTTACTCTTCCATTGCGCTTTGAAATCAAAGATTCACTTATTATTTTTCTTTGAGGGAAAAACATCCCGAAATAATAGTCCAGTTGTAACGTTTCAAACAAGTCATTCAATTGAAACCGCTAAAACGAACTGCAAAAACTTAAGTCTCTCAGTAACCGTGTACAGATTTGTGCACTAAGCTATGAGCTACATACGTTGTATGAGGGCTACTGATACTGACTGCTCAAATTAAGTGGAGCAAGGTTTGAATCCGTGACCCACTGGTTTCAAGTCACCTGTTTACACCAATGAGCCACAAGCCCATATCATGAAAATACAAAAATCAATATAAATCAAAATCTTAAAACCTGGTGGTTGTATTTCACTGGTACTGGTGGCTACTAATAGTATCATTTGAGCACTAGTGATTTTGCCAAAGATTACGATGAGTTAATTCACTAAAGTAGCTGTCTGGCAGTCTTCGTTAAATGTATCTGTCACATGGATTTCTGAAGACTAAACTTTTTTCCTCGATATTAACAACACTTAAATTTGGACCCAATTATTTTATAAAGATTACAGATGACATAATCTTGATAGACTGCAAATTTTCATAATATGAGTGTCAATGATAAGATCCGTACCTAGATGCAGATTTCGGAACTGGTTTGCATTATTTCAGCGCCTGATAATACGAAGTTCGTTGTACACGTTGGCAAGGTATTTACCTTAGTGGTGGAGTCGGACGAAATTTCGACATGGAATAAGGCTTGTTTGGTCCACATTAACATTACATTAACTTGTCTAGAAAATATCTGAGTCCTTATTGAAAACTGTAGGCATCACAGCTGTGCACTGTCCTATCATGTGAATGTATAGTATAATCACCATAGACCGAAGGTTTACAAAAGCCTTAGACAGTTGAACGACACTCACTTCATCACATCGCTTGTGTGTGGTAAAACAATGCGTGCACTATGGAGATTAGCCATGCAAAATAAACCAAGGAGGTGAATCCGTGTATGAGTATACAAACCACAGATCAAGGCGATTGAAAGGAAATCTAACCATTGTTTACCTAAAAATGAATTGCTAGCAGGTGTGCTATCTTCCGAAACTGGAAAAAAGGTGGAAAAAATTGGTCCTAAAACTATGCGTTTCACTGTTTTACATCATTAACACCTGCAGTACGATCGGTTAAGGAACAAATGTAACAACCAACAAAACTAGGCGTCAAGTAATTGCTTTTAAACGGATAATAGTTGACTTCTGTGGGGTACAAAACGTTTCCACTTTTTTATTACGCACTTAAATAAGAAACAACCATCACAGTGGACAGTCAGGAACCATGATCCATCCTTATTTTTCTCTTATAATTTGAGGCTTCTTCTTGGTTGATCTCTACTTTGCATGCTAATCCGAAGTGAAGCAGCTTATTCTGATACGCAATTTATATTAGGTTGTGTTGTTAATTATGACAATTGCCTGGTTGTGACTAGCAGAAGAATCCAGGAGACGTGTTTCGTCCTCTTTTGTCCTGCAAAGGAGCCCAAATACTAAGAGGTCAAACAATTCGATCCAATAAAACAACGGAGAATTACAAGCATATCATTAAATGTGTTATTAATGTCTATGGTAGGTGAAACATCTACTGGTTCAATGAGGTGGAAACATGAGTAAATGTATATTTTTCCTAACAACTCATCAGGCACGACTCCTAAACACCCTAATTTTATCATATGACGCCTTGATTTTTGTGTATGTTTTTATCGTCAAATCATGGTGGTTAAAGGCGAGGTCTGGTGAGACCTTAACATGTTTTTGATCATATCGCACATTCAAAATCACTTTTATCATACAGAAGAGGAAACCATTAAAATAACCCATTCGAAAATTATTATATCTAAGTGCACAAAACGACAGTCAAAACGAAGATATATGAGTGAAATTTACAAAACCTAGTGCCCGAAAACTCACTAAAAATTTCAATCAGATTAAACAAAATTAGAGATGTAGCAATAACAATTGATTGACCAACTTCCAGACCGTTGATTCCCGCGTAGATGTTGATGGAATTCGTACAAAATACAGCCAACAAACCCATATAAATATAATATAAAATGCCTGAAATAGACAAAGACATGAACATCAAATAGAGCTTACACTAAAATACTAGTCGTTAGATTCTAAAATGTTAGTTGCTGATTTTAGAACCTAATCCAAAACCCTAACGGCTAACTTCAGATCATTTTTGAAACCAACATTTATTTAGGGGAGAACTGTTTTAAAGAACCTAGAAGACAAGATTACATGAATTACAGATATGTTAGTGACTAAAAAGAAGATCCGAAACATAGTCTTAAAACTATGAATATCTCTATCGTGTTTTTATGAGATCTTGTTATAACTGGAATTAATCGTTTTGCTTACTATACGACACGATTACATATTCATTACAGTCACAAATCAATTCATCATCTGGACGAATCACCCATGAGTCACTCGCGAGAAAAAAGCCAGGAAGAGTATTGGCAACCCCTTTCTTATTCGTGACTAATAAGGCCATAGTACACCAGTAATAAACCATGCCATGTATTTTAGAGATGAGTGACACCTAAGGGTAAGTGACTATCGGTTCATAGCGGAAGCAATAACTAGTGACTGCGGAAGTTGACGAGGCTACCTTACAAGTAGGTTTCAAGGAAACAATTGCGATGACAACCCACTGAAATGCAGCTGTCCCACGTTCTTTTTCGCTGTTTGGATTTCCAATACACACTAAATAGGAATTTATGCAGATGGATTCCATGGTGTAAATATCAACTCAACGTATATTGAACCTGCATGAGTATAATAAAATGATAATCCAAATCAACTCACTACAGGGATATTCACTAAGCTGAGCTATGCTTATGCTCCAGGATTTATGATGCTACCTCATTTCTAAGACTGAAATAAGTGAAACGGGTTGGAATTCACGACCCACTGCTTGAAAATCGAGTGTTTAAGCCAACAAGCGACATTTCCACATATCACACAAAACACCCTGAAGTTTAGAAGCTGTTTCGAAGTGCAGAAACTGTAAAACTACAAACTATATATAATTAAGTGCAACTAAGTAACTACATTCATATTTCCATATCAGTCAATGAAGTAGTATTACCTGGCGAAGAATATTGCTTGCATGGTTGCTAGGGTTAGATACGGAATCCGGGTATACGTAGGTCAAAGAGTAGGACATCTACACCACTAAGCCATAAATTAGTTGGAATACAAGTTACAACAAGTTAAAGGAACAACTATCACAAAATCCGACCTAATAGGTCAGAAAGGCAAGTTAACCGACAGCGTTGAGCATGCAGTGATTAAGCTCGCGCGAACAAGTCTTATGCATATAAAATCACCGTCTACCTCGGTCCAATCTATTGACGGAAGTAAGATTGGGTTGACAAAACACTAAGCCTGACCAATCCATGAAGCCTGTGACCATTGTTCTGAGTAGTGTAGGCAGTTTGGCTTAAGGTCTTGAGATGGGAGTCAATGGTTAGCAATTCTTGATAATAGTTTTGCAGATCGATCATTGTGCTGCAGATCATACACTTTATATCATCTTCGAGTTTCGGATATTTTTCACCAACTTTTATTGATCTGTTCTCTCTCTTCTCGTATTTTATGTATTTGAATGACACCTCAGTCCTAACTACTCCTTTGTGTTGCTTTGACGAGTCGCAACTTGAAATGTTTTTTGCGCAAGGTTTTACATTAGTCTGCCTGTTTTTTATCTACAGTCTACAGTCAGTATCTGCGCTCACTCTCGGTAGTCACTCTTTCTAAGTTATCGAAAAGTTTGTGCCTGAAGGTAGATGTCTGATGAAATTTCCCAACGTATACAGAAAGTCACAAAGATCTACACCGAAATGCATTGTCTTAAGAGTCACCACGACTTCAAACTGACTATAGGGGATTGGGTGTACAGTCTATCGCGGCAAGTATTTTGGTTTAAGGTTGTTGCCTGTTTCCTTTTCTTTATTCTTATATTCATCACTTTTATCTCTTCTGCTGGTCACGATAGTTTTTACAGTTCACTTTTTAGTGGTGATGTTGTAACAATTTTGTTGTAAATAAGTAATAGGTAATCGAAATGCCCCGGCAACTTTTATCGACAAGGTAATTCAGTCTGTTTGAAGTTAAGCATGAGATGCATACAATAAAAGTTTATGGGAGACTGTTTGACTTTCGTTCACAGAAAAATTGTGTTGAACTGCTGAGGTGACTACCTCTAATTATACGCATCAGTAGATGTTTAATGTATATACTCCGAAAGCCATACTTATGAAACTGCATACTTCTGAGCAGTAAATTGAAATCCATAGGCCAGGAACCAAAAAAGGTAGTAGATGACTACATACTTCAATGATAGCCGATACAATAGACACGATTTGTTAAAGAGGATTGACAGTTGAGTAACCCAACAACCAGCGAGAAGTTTCGCGAACCTAACGAAATGTCGCACCTGCGTGACGACCCTTAAGACCAATTAGCAACCCAAGCTCGTGGGTGCGACGAACTCTGATCCGGTCACCCACTAAGTGTTGAAGTGCCTTAACCAGAGGGTTGCAGCTCTACATCCCAAAGCCTGCTAATAATCCGTATGCATGAGCACAACCACTCGATATTATTAGCCCAAAAATAGGAAATTGAGTCGACTCCCTAATTTCCAATTCTATATTAGATTCGTTTGTTTGATATAGCAGTTAAAAAAGACTATTCACACGTCAGTAATACTGTATCACTGTCTTCTATTCCAAATAAATAAATAAATCTAATATGGAATTACATTTTACCAGAGTGCCTACTTTGCAACTGTTTCCCGAAGGCAAAAATAAGACATCAAGGAACATAAGTAGCAAATATTTCTCAAGGTTAATAAAACTGATCGCTTGAACGTACCAATGTCCACGCTACTGCCGAAAACACTTCTGAACATTACTGGAACAACAATACGAGTTGTTCCCTCGTTGGCAAGGTAAACCATTAATAATGGTAGACTTGCAACAGAGGGAAAAACAATTTTATGTCTCCATGGAAGGTTGAGTGCATCATCAGCAAAACCCAGAAGTATCATGCAGCATATTGACAAAAGGCCAGCAAGGAACTCAATGAACTATAGATTTATACGTACGATTACAATTATTTATGCTACCTGACTTTTGAAGATAATCTGTTGGTCTTCCGTTTTATTAAGCGGGCACGACTAAGGGAAATACAACACAAAATTAAAGTATTTACTTCAATTTGTTGACTACTGTCTTTACCGAAAAGGTATTTCCAAAACGGTACAGGAATGAACAGGAACATGATAGAAAGAAAGACGACCCCACATATAACCCCTTGAGCTTCCGGACTAGAAAAATAGAGGCACTGTAAAGTAAACTTACAGGGTTGGTTTAGTAGGCTTGTTCATATCAACACCAGCAAAACCAGCTCGAAGAAACTCCCCTTTATACCTTTTGAATAACCTGATGACAGATCTCAAGCCAAAGGTGGCCATCAAGACAAGAATAAAAAGCTCGAACACATGTCGGTAGCTACTCAAAAAGTAAACATCAGATACTGATTCACATGCAACGTTCACAGACATAATCCAGACAACTAATATCCACGTTATCTAGAGACAACGGCTGTGTATCGTTTAAGAAAGAATTGGCGCGTTTTGCCCCACCCTCACGTGCCACCTAAACGTTAATTTTCTGAAACAAAGATTGTGAATACAGTGTTGTGTATTATTCGTCGCTGCTATGGATCCCACGTGAATATATTCTTCTTATAAAGGGCAGAAACAATGTGTCTTAGCAGAAGGTATTACTAGTACATAATTTACTGCTGATAAGGGAATTCTTCATGTATCCAAATGGTTTCAAGTAGTTGGAAACTGTGCAGAAGATGCTTCTGCTCAATTGACTGACGCTTATTAAGGCAGTGGATCATCATTTTTGAGGTTTTTTACCCAGGTTTAGGAACAAAAAGTGGGTAATGAAAAACGACAGTGCATTTGTGTTTTAGTCTGTAACCCCACAATGTTGCCCCAAGTGGATATTGAACATGTTCTTAAAGGATTCTCATGATTTCTGGAAAAACGTATTCTCTGAAAGCATTCCAAACCCTAACAACTTTGAGAGAGTAAAATCCGCGCCTAAGCTCCTTCCTACTACGTCAATATATTGAGATTAGTTCTAAAAATTCACTAAAGCAAGTGCAGAATTGGCTGGCCGGGATTATTTGAAATAGTGTGCATCATTACCGAACCGCCCATTAGCTTATATTCTATGGGATGCAGGACAAGGGACACAATGTGTCTGTGGCGTCACATACTCCCCTGAAATCAACAGCCTAGGGTTCGACGAGATTCAACATTGGTGCTGACCTTCACAGTTTAACTGGACTTGCTAGGCTGAAGGCACACGGTCAAGCACTAAAGCTATTCAGGACGCTGTCGTGTTACGTTGCACCAGTCGTGATCGATCCTTCAGCCAGCTGTTTGGGACTCACCAGTATTTTGGCACGATCTCGCAAATTTACCACTCCATCTGACTACGCTGTTGTGTTCTTCCTTGGTCTCGTATTCGTGGGTAAATGACGAGTACGAACAATTAGTGTTTGGCCTCTGCAACTGTCAGCTTCTCATGGGGCTAAGTCCTGAAAATTCGTCGTATAGTTGGAATCTTGGCTCTCGTACGCGCTAAGTGAAGTCCCTCTAGATCCTCCCTGTATGCTGTTTTCTTCCTGACACTCAAAGGAAAGAATGTAGTCTGGAATTCTGCGTGATGCTTTGCGAGTCCACTGAAGATGTGTAAACTTCTGTGATTGGATAGTTTAAAGGCCCATGGCAGGGTAACATGTGCTACACTATCATGGAACCCATTCATCGGGCAGTCGGCCCGTGGCTGAAAATCAAGGGGACTGAGACTGCAAGATACTTTCCATCAAGGAGGCTTTCGGCACTAATTCATAGATTCTGAAGGTGTGGCCAATATCAAAATGAATGTATACCACTTTGTGATTTTCAGAATTGAGGGTTAGTTCATTGTTATCCTCCAAATGCTGCAGACACCTGGACCACCTTTCAGAATGAGCCTATTATTTTCAATGCGGATTCTTCTCAGTCGCTTCACATAATCAGTAAAAAGAAGAGTTTCGGAAGATGCCCGCCTAGTGAATCAGAAGCGGCAGAGGCCGAAAGCCGAATCCCAGGGAACTGCGTTAGGGCACCTGGTCTCCTGGATATAGCCGACTTGACTGAGAACTTAAAAAGGTGGTCAGTTGGATATGGTGATGGGCACTTTACTAATGGGGAATCGATTCTGGTTCGCCTTAGGTTTTTGGCGAGAACATTTTGCTTAACACGATAGAAAGCCTTCGAAAAATCGAGCTGTTTCACACTTATTCTAGACCGGTGACCACTGGCGCTAGTTCATTTACCTGCTCGGTTTAAGAGACTAGTGATACGTGAATATTCTTTCCTAAGACTGGACGAAGAAGTGAATAGAGATCAGGTGCTTTTATGAACTGTTGCCGGATAGCAGGTTTATTACCTTAGATTCCTAGGGCGAGAGAATCACAGTCACGTAGTTTTTGGGTTGCGTTGTTGACCTCCTTAAAGATTAGTGTGCCTGTCGATTTGGGAACAGAGGCCTACACTTGATCCTATAAACTAGTTGCAGGAAATGCAGATGCTGAACGTTTCGAATACAAATGCAACTACCACAGTCCCTCCAGTCTGGGCATTGCTCACAAATTCCGGAATTCGGCTGCTAACCAGGGGGCAACTTTACTTTCGATACCCTGCTTAGGTGGCGTGTAGATCGTTTCAAACATGAATATGTTCGTAGAAATGATGCTTTATACGGTACGACTTGCTCGTTAAAGGGGAATAAGCTGAGTAAGACCAGTGTTGCAATACTAGTTTGCCGCGGAACCCACATGAAATCACATTCAACAATACGGTCTAGACATCTTAATAACATTTTTGAAGTAATTCCTATCCATCTAGAGTGCGATATCAGTGCTTGAAAGTGATATCAGTGTCGTGTTAACCGTGTGATTCCTGAATATCGACACGTTTTGCCTCGTCTCTATTCTTCTGGGAACTGACCATACATATACCTATCCAGTAGGGCCTCTCATCTCTAAAACAAACACTTTTACGGAAAAATTGTCTGGGAAGTCCACGATCCTCGACCGAGCACTTCCATCATCCTCAAAACGGACAACTATGTCATAGGCCAAGCTGTCTCAACCGACCTCTCTAGCTCAGGTTGCTGCACCTATAGCACTATTTATCCCACTGGACCATGCATCTTGAACCCGTGGGAATTAGATATTCGAAGGCAATGTTGACAACTCACCTTAGCGTTTAGGGTTTTTCTACTTTTTACTTGGCCTAATCATTTCATCTCACTTTCTCTCATAACTACTTGTCGAAATAGGAAGCGACATTGTTTTGTAACTAAATCTGGTCATTAAAACCTTACCTCAGTCGCTGACCAATCGTTTGTTGGTTTTAACTAGGGCCGAGGATGAGGGGTGTAACCCTCTCAAGGGACGACGGGCCGACTACATCAGGACAGCCACGAGAACCAATCCACGAAAAAGGGCAAATTTCGGTCGCACGCAACTCTCAGAACTCACCTGCCCTCGTTCAGCGAAAAACGTGTCTCAGTGACACACCTAGCTTACTTGCAAGAGACCCTAGAGGGGGACTGAAGAGGACAAAAGTTCCTAACTAAACCCTTTGCTCATGGTGACGATTTCCGTACACGTGGTCTCACCGTAGCCGAAACGAACGCGGTTTTTCAGTGTAGTATTTCGACAAATGGGTGTACTATCAATGTGACAAGGACACACCAGACTAATTCCAGAAGTTTGTGGCGCGTCGTCCATGCACGTGGTTGCGGAATATGTGCTCGCAGTGTCGTCCGAGCGCACGTTTATGTACAGACTAGCCTACGGAGGTTGTAAGAGTCGTGTTAGTGTGTACCTAAATTACGGTGTCCCCACTGGTGACACTACCACCAGTGAAAGTCCAAGAAACAAGAGCATCAGCGCCGTTCTATGGGCGATCACTCCTGTAAATGGTCCAGAGATGGACTAACAATGTCTTTAGGTCAGACAAATCGGATTCAAAACCTGAAGCTGCTCTAAGGGTCACTCCAGCTGTGGATCGCGATAAACGGGTTACGGTGGAGAGGAGGGTGCATCTTCTCGACAAAACCCGCCCACCGTGCATGGTAACAGGGACGTCGATTGCAAGTCAAACACCATCATCTCACATAATGTTTCCGCATGCCAAGACAGTCTTCTTCAGATAAGGGATTCTTTCGGCAAGTAGCAAAATAGAAAGGTGTGCTACACATCCAGAACAAGTAGCCGGCGCTCCAAGCTATATCGGCTTTACGAACCCAACCCTCCAACTTAGGCGAACCCCCCTTCCGATGACGTTGACCTTCAGATGAACTGAGGTTAGGTGATTCCGCTTCCTGATATACGCATCAGTCATCAACCCGTCATCCGGCATTAGGGCTAGACAATATTTGCCATGGTCGGCAAGGAAAACACATCCAGAAAGGCACCACACACTGCAAACGGCAACCGTGGTTACCCATAGCATACAGAGACAAACTATAACGGCCGAAATCGAATTATTTTGGCTTGAATGCGGAGAAAAGCTGGGCGGTGCCAAAATGACTCGAACCTAACAAGTTCCCGCCTTCTACTGTATACTTTCCAAACCTCGCGGGTGGCGCACAGTCGAAGGTTGGATCAACAATATCAAAAACACGGCTTGTAGTAAATCAGTGGTAGATTCGTAACAAAATCTGTGGTAGTATCAAGGCAACAATAAATTATATGAAAATTGCAAAAAATACCTCAACGGTGCCGTTGGATAACTATGCACTAATAGGCACCATACAGTAAAAATTGGCTGAACAAATACACTTGTTAAGTACCCCAGAATCAATAAGAATAGTCACAACAAAAGGGGATCGAAAACTCTGTCTACCAGAATTAAATCAACAAATGAACGTTTCCAGTAGCCAGTCAAAAGCTAAGCGGTCAAATCACAGCACAGCCATAAGTGGAACTAGAATAAAGCGTCGGGAGCGGTAAAGCAACGTCACGTTGTCCACAATCCAGCGCCACATAATCGGAAAGTGAAGCATCCATGGTAAGTCTCAATCAAAGACACATAATCAGTGCAGGGTCGAGGAAGACCGTCAAATAAGCAAATAACATTGTACCGGCTAGGGTCAGAGGCACACCATCTATAACGGGGGTAAAAATATTCAAATAAATTTCCGTACTATCAACTAAGGTGATCAGGAGGGATTTTCGGACTGTTTTTCCGCTACACCAGTAGACAAGTTTACTCGTAAAATCCAATAACTGCATTATTTTCAGCTGGGGAGGGGCTAGATGGAATACTACGTCTTCGGTCCTCCACCTTTCCCACGCCTGAAAACAATGAATTCACCCATGTTGATGGCTGTTAACTTTGGATGCCTATGATTATTATTTGTCCCTTAGGTTCCTAATGGAACGAAGGGCTTCAGTAGCACGTCTTTAGTGCACCCTGTTACCCGC